CAAACGCGTCACCCATTGTTGTTGTTTTTCGTGAAAAATTCATCCGCAGCATCACCACACACACACACACACACACATGCGCAATCTTTGCTTGCCGGCGTCCGACCGCGGCACGTAACCCAGTGCCATCATCAGCGCCGCGCACCATAAAGCTTGCGCGCCGTTATCGCCACCACCACTAACCGCGCCACGCCGCCGCGCCGCCGCGTCCACGGCCCAAAGGGCTTCCAACGCGTCCGCCGCCACCCGCCTAGAAAAGGCCCCGTACGCCTTGCCCTTGGACGCGCCGCTGGCAGTGGCGTGGAGAGGAGAGAGGTCCGAGCGTTCAGGGAGATCGGGCACCTAGCAGACAGAAGGGGGAGGGGGAGGGCGTGGGTTGCGGGTGGCAGCGAGATGTCCAAGCGTTCACCCCTTGGCTTCCCTGTCCGCCCCACTCCTGCCCGCTGTGCCTGAGGCAGCCTGAGGCAGCCTGAGGCCTGGGGGGTCCGGCAACAAGTGGCCGGATTTCGAGTCCGTGTTTTGGGAGCGCTATTATTACCCCAGCCGGGCGGGGCGGCGGGGCGCGCCTCGTGATAACCAATCTAATCAATGAGAGGCTACTCGCCATCGGCACGGCGCGCCACGGCCGGCCTAAATGACTGATACCGAGCAAGACGGCAGAATATTCCTCACGGGCGGATGGCCGGGGCACGGCCAGCACGGCCGGCACGAGGAGTGTGGCCGAGCCGAGTGCACTTTGCGAGCAGGCCGCGCAAAGCGCAAAGCGACGCGCCAGAGTCGCCTGTGTGTCACTGGCGAGTGCGACAGAGCCAGAAGGGGGGGGGGGGGGGGGGCTGGCATCGCCGGCATCCACTGGTCGAATCATCTGTCAATGGGCGGGCGATAGAGCAAGTCACGCGGACTTGCGGACAACAGGGAGGTCTCTCAGAAATTGTCATTACTCAAATGGCCTCGGAAAAATAATGAATGAATGAAAGATGAATGAATGGGTGAATGAACGAGGGGAGGGGGGAGGGAACATGGATGAACACGATGAATATGGGGCAGCCAGTGAAAAGATTTCTTAGTGTGTTTCTTTGTGGCTGCAAGTGCGACTCAAGTTCCCCTTCCCTCCCTTTCCCCCATGGGGACACTTGGAAGAAAATGCGTCGGCATTTCGCTCTCATTTGCGAGTCTAACTGCGACTTGTACCTCCGCGTGACTCCGCGGCCCGCGGCGGCCCGCGGCGCCGATTCATTGCCCCCCCCCCTCTTCCCGTCTCATCTCTTCAAGCCTCATACTGGAAGTGGCAGTGGCGCACTCTTTGTGTACAGTACGTCAAGAATGAAAACAGTATGACGTGTTGCTTAGGAACAATGAGACCGATACGCACAGAGCTAAAGCCAATATTAGCAGCAGGGATGCTCTTTCGGTGAAAACGAAACTGTCGCACAGAGAGTGAACATGCTGCAATGAGTGCTCTAATACGAACCGTTGCATGCAGGAGAGTGGACTTTCACCGCGTGCTCTTCGGGCATTGTTTGTGGGCTAGTGGTCGAGTCCGCACCGAGGGGTGAATCACTCAGCGTTCTGGTGTACACATGAGTACGGGTGAGTACACCTTGCTTTACTCATAAATTTCACAATTTTAAACGTTGTGAGGCTTTATTTAGCGTTTTTAACGGCACTCAACGTTAAATCGGTCGAAAAACTAGTACATTTTGCCCTTCTTAAACTTGTGAGTACACTGAGTACGGGCAAATTTGTACACATGAGTACACTAGTGATTCACCCCTCGGTCCGCACTGGGTCGCGACAGCCTGACCGGCCGGACGCCGGACACGGTTTGCAGTCACTCTGGGCCCGGGCGATTCCCTCAGACAAAACTTGGACGCGCGTGTTTCAAACTGACAGCGAGGTGGCCACTTACCTGTCACTCTTGTCGACGGTGGGGAAGTCCTGCAGGTCCAGCTCGTCGCTCCAGGGCTCGGCGGAGATGCCCTGCGCGCGCTGCTTGCGCGGCCGCGGCCCGGTGGGGGTGGCGTGCGGCGAGGGGGGCCCGCTCGGCCCGCTGCCCCCGCCGCCCCCGCTGGGCGAGGACGGGGTGCTGAGGCTCAGGTTGTTGTTGAGCTGCGCGTACGAGTACGGGAACACGGACTGGAACTTGTCGAGGTGCGAGCGCAGCTGCACCATGTCCTCGTCGCGCTGCCGCAGCGCCGCCTCCAGCTCGCGGATGCGGCACTCCCTGTCGGCGAGCAGCGCCTGCAGCTCCTGCAGGGACGCCATGCTGTCCGAGACGACCGCCGTGGCCGTCGCCGTCCTGGGCTGCTGCGGCGACCGTCCCCCCTGTGGGGCCCGGGCCCGGCTCTGGGACTGCCCCGTCGTTGCTGGGTCGCCTCCCTCAGTGTCCGCTGCGTCGCCCCCGTCGACGACGTCCTCGACGTCCTCGTGCCGCTGCGACGCGAAGCACAGCGATTCCAAGCACACGCGCATAAGGGAGGACGCTCTGCGAGCCGAGCTCTCGCTTGGGGCTTTCGGGGCCTTCGGGGCTTTCGGGCCGCGTTCGGAAACGGCCGGCGTCTCAGTCGCCCCCATGCTGGGTCGGAAGGAGTCTCCGAACGCAGCCCTCGGGGCTGGGAAGGCTGGGATGGATCGACACAGCGGCCCGGCCACTTACGGACTCGTTTGGGAACTGCGCCGCCAGTACTTGACGAGACCAACTTCTCACAAAAGAGATAAATCAAAATGGAAAGATTAGGAAGTTATCTGGGGACCTCTCATGTCAGTATCATCTTCCCTCAGAATTAGACTAATTGAGTGAGACACCATTGGGACAACAAGTTTCCTTCGAGTTTGGCAGTCTCACGCGCCCCCATGCTTGCGGGAAACTCAAACAAATCGAGATTCGATTCCAGAAAGTTGCCGTGCCGCGTGTTTCCATTCCCCATTTCCGCTCCGTGCGAATGTCTTGCAGGTGGGCCGCAGCTGTCAGTGACCCCCAGGACCCCAGGGCCAGGGCCCAGGGCCCCGCCGGCCCGCCGGCATGGGGCGACCAGGGGGCGAGGGAGGGGCGGGGGCAGCGGGGGCGTGGCCGCAGAGAATGGGAGACACTCCGATAACCTCCACAAAAACAATGCTGCGAACTACTAGCCGGCTCGGCTTAGCTCTGCGTCATCCCGGTCCCGGCCCGCGGCGCAGCTCGCAGTCCATCCAGGACGGAGCCACAGCGACGCTACTCCAGTTCCAGATCGAGGCATCAGCACCCGTTCCAGATCACGCACGCACGCACGCACGCAGCGGCCGCGACGCGGGACGGGATAGGAAGACCCGGACCACTGAACGAGGAGAGGACGAGATTGCAGGTCGTCTCGTCTCGTCTGTTTCAGCTAGTGATGGCGAGCCGAGCCGAGCCGAGGAGCCGGCGAGCCCAGCCGCGCAGCGCCCTGCGCGCCGCCGCCCCGCGCCGCCCTCCGCAGCAGAAGGAATCCCGAACTTATTTACCAACACCACTGCCGCTTGCCGCAGCTCTCGCACACACACACACGCGCGCGCCCACTCCGACACACGCTGCCCCTCGCAGTTCCTTCAGCCTCGCACAACACACGGTCACGCACGAGCCGCGCACGCCCGGCCGTCGTCACGGCATTTCTGGAGCACGCTGTGGAACGCGGCGCGATTTTCCTTCACGAACGCAAACACGGCGCGGCTGGCATGGCGAGCCCAGCACTTGTTTAGCAGACAGGTCGTCTCGCCTGGTGCAGCGGAGAGGCCGGCTGAAGACTAGCGCTGGGACCGCGGCGGCGGCGGCAGGCCCGGCCCGGCACTCTGCTCGGCTCGGTGGTACAGCCCGTCCGCGCGTGGGGTGTCCGCCGCCAGCCGAGTCGGAGGCCCACGTTCGGACCACTTTTAGCGGCACTCGCGTCACGCTGCTCGGCTAGGCTGGCTCATTGAGCCTTCCCCTCGTCTGCTGTGGCGTTCTGAGCCTCAGCGAAACCACTGAGACCCCTGGCTACCGCTGGCCGCGGCTGCTGAGGCACATGTTGCGGCGAACGAGCTATAATGGCTGCCGCGTGCCGCGTGGCTGGCGGCTGACCGTGGCGCCATCTCGCGGCGAGCGGACCAACCTCGGTGCCGGCAACAAGCAGCACCCAATGACCTTGAAGGATGATGCACGTGTGGGATATAAATAAACTTTCCTTCAAATGCTGCCGAGTGTGTTAAGGGAGGACGGCAAGGGAGGGGGAGAAAGGGGCAAATTTGTGAATGAAGCTAATCAGGACACTTCGGGACCACACTGCTCGATGCAGGCCGTGCAGTGAGAGGCCCGGGCGCCCCCCGCTGTCTAAGGCGGGCGAGGGCGAATTTGGCAGTAATATGGCCCGGTCCAAGGTCCAGTTGGGCGGTACAGTCACCGAACAGAGATTCAGTTCAGCACCCACGACGAGGGGAGGACTTCCAGAGGCACTGGGCCTCCGTTGCACGCCGCCCTTGCTCTTCACATGGGTCCTTCCCTCCCCCCCTCGTCCCTTCCCCTGGCCCTTGGCCCTTCGGCAGCAGGAAAGGGCAGGCGCCCTTCTGCCCTTGACCCACTAGAGAGGGCTGTTGGCCGGGATCCGCTGGCTCGAACTCGAATTCGCGCAGTAGGGCGTTACCCCGTTTACCCCTGGGTCGAGTGGTCACATTAGTCGAGTCATTGTCCCTGCATCACTTACTCTGAGGTGCCCTCGGGGCGGGTAGCCCTGTGATGACTCTTAAATGTGAATCATCACATTTATAGAAAGGATAGAGTTGTTAAATAGAGCGGGTGAACACAGCACTGATTTGCTATGGTCAGCTGTTATTTGGAACAAACCTCAGAAAGATCCCCCTTTCCATAGTGGTATAATAGATTCACCAAAATTCATTATATTTAAGCTCATTGTCGTGTGAGTAGGAATGATCTTAACTTATAACACATTTGAGTTCCATTCCTGCAGTCAGTGGCTGGGACTAAGGTTTCCCAGAAAGTAAGACCAAATAAATTCTTTCTCTAACAGACTTTATAACATTTAATAAAATGGATCAACTTTCATATGGAGGTCTGAATGGAATTGAAAGCAGCAAGAGTGAAAGCAACAAACAAAAGGTAGTTCTGTAGCCATCCTAATCAAAAATATTAGTTAAAAGTGCACCTTGCAAACTTCACTAGATCACTTTCCTTATGACACGTTGTCACAGAATGTAAAGATAAACTTCTGGCCAGTGAAACCTTTCATGTCAAGAGTCTTTTTCAATGGTACTTCAAACTCTTTGAAAGGCAACAGTTTGTGAGCTGGTGCCTTCACAACCCCTTTCAGCATCAAGTCTACAATCTCTTGGAACATCTTCTGTCGTTCATCACTACTTGCATTTTCTTTTGACCAGCGTGACATCCAAAATCCTCTCAGTTGAGCATCTTTGAAGATAAGAGCGGAGGTAGGGGCTGTCACAGGTTGACGAGACATGCCACCATAAGTGACATGCACTCCTTTTGGCTGCAACTTCCTTAAAATTTCCATACCACTTTGACCCCCTACACAGTTAAGGGCTAGCTTTGGAGCTTTAACACCACCTGACTTGAATAGACTTGTGGACCTGTAAGAAATTTGATTCCATGAAAGCATCATGAACTTTTTAGCCTAAAGGCAGAAATTACCATAAAAAGTTACCTCAATTCCTCCTCGGTAAGAACATGAGAAGCTCCAAGTTTAGTCAAGGAGTCTTTGAGTTCAGCAATGTTGGGTCGGTCTCTCACAACATTGACTGAAATGAGGTTCCAGGCATTACAAAGCTGTATCACATACTGGCCACACGCACTATTGGCACCATTCTGAATAACAACATCGCCCGGCTTCAAAGATACAAAATCTTTCAGCATTCTATACGCAGTAGGAGGGTTTGTTAACAAGGTTGCAGCCTCTGCAATGCCCAGTTTGTTAGAAACCTGTAAAAGAACAAAAAAATATTAGGAAATATGTGAATACGAGCTAATAACAGTAAGGAAGTCACATTAAACAAAGAACATACTTTCATCCATTTACTGGCATCAAACGCTCCATGCGTTCTCCATGTTCCTAAGCCAACTTCCAGAGGCACAACAGTATCACCCGTTGATAGGTTCTTCACATCACTGCCCACAGACAATACCCGGCCCACTCCTTCGTTACCTGGGACAGATGGGAGAGGGGGCTTGATTGGATAAACTCCCTGGACGGTGTTGATGTCAGCAGGGTTGATGGGCGCTCCAAGCATCTCTACTATTATCTGAAAGCAGAAACAAATTTTGGTTAAATGAAAAAAGCTTACAAATTGTCATGCTAGACATAACCTCCGAGATAGATAAGAATGACAGCTTGACAGCATTCACCTCATTGTTTTGAGGAGGCGTAATCTTTTCTTCGACAAGCTTCACAACCTGCGAAGGTTCACCATAATCACAGTATAAAAGCTTCTTTGCATGAATCGTGTGGAGTCGGCGAACTGCTGACAGCGACCGGTGGCAATGCATTTTGAAGAACCAAGTTCAAAACGTCTTCCAAGGGGGAATAGAATCACAACAGGCGAATATTCAATGGCTGATTGCTTCAGCAATGGGCCGATCCGGCAAAGACCATGTAGACTTTGCTCCTTCGTTATTTCGACTTGGATGTGCTGTTCATCGCCAACGCCAACCTTTCACCGCCGTGACTGATAAAAGCTTTTCGGTTCGGGTTTTGTTTGGAGCACGCGCGCAAGCAGACGACAGCACCAATCGCTAGTCGTCATTCAATTGTTTTCATTTAGTGAGAGGGGAGGGGGAGAGGAGGAAGGGGGAGTCTGTCTGAGTCGTCTGAGTGTTGGAGAATGAACAAAAATCTAGGTAATTCTTGTTCATGGGGTTGCTATATCTTGGTAGCAAATCTTCCCAGGCATTCTCCATTGGGTGCAAGGTGTTTCCCTTTTTTGACGTAAAGCTATCACACTTGAAATACATTGCCGTTGTCTTACGACTACCACATTATATTTAGGTTATGTTATCCATCTTCGTAACATCAATTATAATTTGAAACTTAAATTAGTGTATGGCAGATTCTGAAATTAACATGATCATCCTTTTAGAACACGGCAGATGTTTAAATCAACATAATCATATTTTCTCTGAAATTTTAAAAATTACTTTTCCTTAATTACTCATGATTTTTATGTGCCTTTATGTGAATTATTGAGGTATTTCTCATCCTTTGCTAGTGTCACACCAAAATATGTTCAAATATTTATTTTTTATTTTTTCCAGCTTGGTTATTAGGCCGTGTGCCTGCATGTGTGAGCATCACCCCTCGTCCAGTCATCCAGCGAACCTCAACATTGCTATGGAGCCCTCCACCTGCTTTAATCCAGGGTGCCACCCGAAATTATGCCGCTCGCGCACACACACGAGCCAAAAAAGAAAAGCTAAAGCAGAAAAACAAGGCTGCTAAAAAAGAAAAGGAAGCCGTCTCTAAGGACTTTAAACAACAACTCTTGTAAGTTCTTTTGTTCCGTATGGTTTTGCTGTGTGTTATCTTTCTGTTGCATTAGACCTTTGGCCTGTAAAACAATGTTCATTTCCTTTTTTGTTTGTGACCTGTTTCAGGACCAGAATCCAGAAAGTTCAAGTTCAATCTCTGTTTCCAAAGAATGAGTCTGAAAAACCAGTTGCTGTAGATAATGTCTATTTCAGCAGTTCCTACAAATGGCCATGCATGGATGTACTCACAGCAATAAAAAACTTCAAAGAAGTTCATCATCCCACTATGTTTGACAATCCGAAGGCATTGGTCAAAGCCTATTTTGAACTGGACTTGAGCACAAAAAAGAAGGTTTTGCATTTCAATGTGGATTTGTGTATGTTGTAGAATTCTGCAGATTCACTTTACTTTGGATTATTTGTTTCAGACACAATTTATGGACAGATTTGCTGGTGTTGTCGAAGTACCACATGTGTTTGAAACAGGCAAGCCAATCCGAACCGTTTGTCTGTTTTGCAAAGATAAGAACCTCATTGAAGCAGCGTTGGCAGCTGGTGCTAATGCTGCAGTAGGACTGGAAGGCATCAAAATGTTTCAGGTAATGGTTTTGCCGAATAGCCTAATAGTATACTTGTTTGCAACACTCCTTGTACTCCAAGTGAATTTTACCTTGTTTTCAGGAGGGTGCACTAGACTTTGAAGATTATGACATTATTCTTGCACACCCTGACATACTCACAGAACTTGCACCAATTCGAGGCCTTATCATAAAAAAATTTCCCAACATTAAGAGAGGTTAGTCTGGTTAAACCTAAATTTTAAATTAACTTTCAATCATTCAAAGCACTTCTACAGTTTCATTATGTTATTTACAGGAACTGTGGGGTTTGATGTTGTGAGTCTTGTTAATAAGTTCAAAAGAGGTGTAGATTATGAAATGAACCCAAGTATCCTGAATCCAAGGCAGGGTTTAGTGCAGACTCCAATTGGCACGGTATGTTTCTAGACTCAAGTTTTATTTTTACAGACTTAATTTATTTCTTTTTATCTAATTGACTCTAAAAATGCATGCCCCATTTAATTTTTATCATTATTAAACTTTCAAGGTGGACATGCCTGCCTCTGAAATTGAAAAGAATTTTGTTGCTGTGCTGGATGCTGTTTCATCTCACAAACTAGCAAATATGTCAAATGCATTTTTCACAGGGTAAGAATAAAGTTTTAATTTTAAAATTTTGTGGAGTTTGTAAAAGTGTGTGCTTCTGTCTAACCTTATTTTTTCTGTCACAGAGGAGCCATCACAAGTGAATTTTCAAATGAAAGGTTCAAAGTGTCGCTTGATCCTTACCTAACAGACAGTGACGAAGATATTGAGAAAGAAGAACCAGCAAAAGGAGTCAAGACTGCCGCAGTGAATGCTTGAATGTGGTCATTCAAATTGACTTAGAAAAAGTTTCATCTTACCTCAGTTTCACTATGCTTTGTGCTGTAAAATAAAATTGTCTTTTATTTCCTAAAAAAATATGTGCACAGTTTTTACCTTACAAGTAATGCACAACCAAATTCATCAATAATAATTATATTATTATATTTACCTACCAATTTATTTATTTTTTAATATGTTGTATCATTTATTAACCTTTTCACATCCTTTTTACAGCAAACACCTTGCAGTGCACAGGTTGCCTCTCCTAATACAGCTTAGTGTGATGGCCTTGCATATCCCAACTGCAAGTAGGGCTTCTGCAGAAACTCGAGAAATCTTTCAGTCTCTCTACACATCAGGTAGAACCTCCTTTCCTTCAATTTATTGTGGCAGCTTGAGCCTGGCACAGGAGACCACCTGCAGTGCTCATAGTTTGCCCGACCTGGCTATTAGTTCACCTGCCCGTGATTCATCGCCCGAAATTTTTTCTCCCATCATGCTTTGTTTAACCTGTATTTTTTTTCTTTACGACTTCCGCTCTGTCCGATCCATTTACACCGCCCCAGGTTCAGGCTGCAGCTGGAGAGCGACTCGGCGGCGCTCCAGTGATCCAAACACCCGCGGCTTACTTTCTGTCAATCAAGACATGGCTGCAGGACAGTTTTCCCAAAACAAACTTCCTAAACCTTTTTTTTTGTTTTGATAATGTTTGTTCTTCTTGAAATAATTTCCAAACACACTTCAATGCAAAAATAGAGTACCAAAAATAAAATTAACAGCACAAAGAAAATTTCATCAAAAAAAGGGCTCTCCGGTGAACCTGTTGAACCAGCCTCTGCGCGAGTGGTGCTCAAAAAAAAATATTATACAAAATAAATTTTTATTTAAACCATAGATTTCAACAAAATTGGCAAAGGCATGGGTACTCTCATGAAATTTGCCACTGCTGCATTGTAGATTTGGGGGTTGTCACGCCGTCCGTCAGTCCAAGGCACTGTATGTGACGGTGCAGGCGCTGTTGGCGTTGTCGGCCGTGTCGCCGTCCTCCAGCAAGGCGGCCATGCTGACGGGGGCCTCGGCGTTCCTCCGGTCCATGTCCCTGCACCTCTCCCACCAGCGCGACGCCATGACCCACAGGTAGACGGCCAGCGCTGCAAAAGGAACGCGTCCAGGAACTGTCCATATTTCTGTTTCGGTATGCCGCAGCATGTTGGCGAATTTTGATGTATTGGCGTCAAAAGCTGGTGGTGGTGACCCACGAACCAGACCAAGCGTCTGATTCGTTGCCTATCGCCTAGGCGCGATGCCGGGCTGTCAGAGGCTGGAGCATCTCCAGGAATTCTCTCGACCGCGTTTCCCACCAGAATTATTTATCGATTTGCAAAGTGGAAGTCACTACACACTCACGCGTGTCCATGAGGGGCCACATGGCGTAGATCAGGTGTACGCCCAGACTCACGTACACCAGGAAGCTCAGGACGTCGCAGGCGATGACGGCGCCGCCAATGTAGAGCCATTGACGGATGCATCGAGTTTTGCTCTGCTCGACGAACACAAGAAGATAGTTTGCATCTTCGACCGAAAAATGTAAGTTGTACCTGCCTGCTCAAGGTTTAGCAAGACAATTGCTTGAGAACAAAAGATTAGTGAAATAGGTCACGAATCGATCATTGGCATAGCAGTTCTGCGCGCTTTCTCACCTTTGCAGCTCCGTAGATGAGAACCGAGAGGGAGATGATGTTCATAAACAGCAGGATGACGGATATGGAGGAAAATATGATGACCACGATTAAGATAAAGCGGAATTCGTCTGCAAAAAAACAAAACAAAGGGTGGTTTTTCGCAGTCTCTGCTCGAATCTTTCGTTCCACTAAACCTATTTTTTCGTTGGCAGGACAAAACTAATTTTGACCGGGCGAAAAGCGACTGATTATCTCTTTGTCGTGTGTCTGGAACGCCCGTCGTTTTAGTTTGGCGAGTACGTACCCATGCGTCGTACGTGCTCCTCCAGCTCTTCGACCTCGGGGTGGGCCGCGTCCGAGTAGTCCTCGCCCTCGCCGTACGCGCTGCGCCCGCTGCGCACGGACCGGTTGGAGTGGGAGTGGGCTTCGGTCGACAAGTCCAAGTAATCCTCGTCCCCGATGGCGTCGTGGGGGCGAGTCGTGTCCACGTACTCCAGCATCGCCGACACCGCGATCTCCGACAGTGTGTACAGCTGCGACCGTTGGCGTCAAAAGAAACAACAGAACATGACTCGAACAGCACCAAGCGAAAACCGCCATGCCAAGGGTGGGGCGGGGTGACTTCTCTTCTGCAACCAGAGCAACCCGGGAAATCCGTTCATTTCCGAGGACTTTCTTTGGCGCTGACGAAAAGTATCAGCGTGTTTCGTACGAACTGGACCACTATATTCCAACTCTGTGAGAAAATGTATAACACAACAACTGCAAACGTAACCGTAAGACGCAGGACCAGATTATGGCGTGGCAAAGAGTCGCCCTTGATAAAGGCCTGCTATCCCAGCCTACTGTCCTCCCTCCCCCTTCCTAATCGGGCTAAAAGCCCAGCGGGCAGGCAGTCGCGCGCCACGCGATAGGTGCGGGATGGCCGGGCTACATCGTGGTCTAGCCTCTCAAGTTCAAGTTCAAGGTGCTGCCCCGCCTAGTGCGCAGGCAATCTCGCGCCACGCGTGTGTTGCGGGATGGCCTACCCTGGCCTTGCAGGCGCTCGGACGCCTAGTGCGCAGGCAGCCACGCGGCACGCGTGTGTTGCGGGATGGCCTACCCTGGCCTTGCAGGCGCTCGGACGCCTAGAGCGCAGGCAGCACGCGCACGCGTGTGTGCGGGATGCCCTACCTGGCCTTGGCGTCGGACGCCTGGGCGCAGGCAGCCACGCGGCACGCGTGTGTTGCGGGATGGCCTACCCTGGCCTTGCAGGCGCTCGGACGCCTAGAGCGCAGGCAGCCACGCGGCACGCGTGTGTTGCGGGATGGCCTACCCTGGCCTTGCAGGCGCTCGGACGCCTAGAGCGCAGGCAGCCACGCGGCACGCGTGTGTTGCGGGATGGCCTACCCTGGCCTTGCAGGCGCTCGGACGCCTAGAGCGCAGGCAGCCACGCGGCACGCGTGTGTTGCGGGATGGCCTACCCTGGCCTTGCAGGCGCTCGGACGCCTGCAGTGCACGCATACACACAGTGTCCTGGAGGCGGTGCCTGTGCTGCGCTGATAAAAGACTTCGAACAAGTAATCGGGTCCCTCGAGGTCGGACGTGGGCCGTACACGGCAAAAGAAAGATACGTCGGCCGAGACGCATTGTTTGTTAGGTTTTAATCGGTTTCAATAAACATTGTGCGGACTTTTAAAAATTGGCTGCAGTGTGCTGCATCCCCATAAGTCCTCCCAATGACCTTTCCAAACCACAGCAATTTTTCAAATCAATTTAAAAATAAAAGACAGTCACTGTTGGATTTCGTTTCGCGCTGACTGAGTTTTCACATTTGAGGCAAAGCGAACGGGTGACTTTGCAAGTCGCTTAGCGAGCAGACGACACGTTCGCGGGCTTCGCGGGCTGAGGGTCTATTCTAGTCTCACCAAATTGAGCGACGCCAGCGTCACGGTGCAGGCCTTGAGTGACAGGCCGCAGCAACCCTCCGAGCGCGCCATGATTGGTCCTTCAGCCAAGGGCCTCGTTTGAGACGCGCCAATCAGCTGTAACAGGTGACGCCGAGACTGACAGGTGGCACAAGTGGATCAACAGAATCGTGTACCATTTCTATTGCTTTAACCTTTCAGGTACAGTATGAATATTATAAGAATGCATGCACACTCACACACCGGGCGCGGTTTGAGGGGGGGGGGTTGGGGTGGCGCAAAGGGGCGATCGCCCCCTGTGAGATTCCCTAAACGCCTTATAGAAGCAAACCCGCATCTGCAGGAAGGCAAAATATGCGCAATCCCACCCCCTGTCAGGGGCTCCTTAAACCGCGCCTGACACACACACACACTTGCACTCATGTATAATACTGAACTTGAACAAAGTTTTGCATTTTTTAAACTTCATAATCAGTCGGGTTAGCAACATACAGATACGACCCAAAGATAATCGATCGATTAAAACCGATATCCCAGCATTCACACTACCGTGTGGGTAGAAAGAAACAATATAAGGAATACAACAGCCATCAGTGTTGACAAAGTATGCCTCTGGCGTGCCATTGGGCGCTGCTGGGATGTACCTGTTCGGGCGCTGTGAATGGTGCTCCCTCCTTCCGGCTGGTGTGACTCCTCGCGGCGGTCCGCTCTGCTCGCCACCATGCACCCTCCGAGGAAGCCAGCAGTTGGAGGCGGCACGAGCAATGCAGCAGCCTCGACCGCCCAGCGTGGCCCAGTGTGCCGGCTGGACGGACAAGGTCAGGGTTCCTCCGTTGCTCGCTGGGCGCGCTGGGCGCGCTGGGCGCGCGAGTCTGTGACGGATGTTGAGTGCGTCTTTCAGAAGCCGCGAGGCGGAGGAAATGGGGGAGGGGAGGGAGGGGGAGACTGCTGCCATCGTGGAGCTGGGCTGGGCTCGCTGGCGAGCGCTGCCAAATCACAAATCTTGTTTTCTCGCTGGTGGGAGGACCAAAAAATACTTTCATGCATGTACCTTCCAGAAGGCTCATCGTAACAAAAATAAATTGATAAATCAATTTGTCTACTTCATGTCTTCAAAGTTTATGAGTGAACTTGGGCGACAGGCTCTGGAGGCAAGATGTACCGATGACATTGGGAGACCGCCACGACACCCACCAAGGTAACGTGCATTCATGCTTTTGACAATCCTCAAAACTATGCCATAAGGGATCAAACTGATGACATAATGGCAAACAGTCTCTTGACGCGAACGAGAGAAAAGGGCGTCCTCCTTTCGTGCTCTTTTTCTGTTACGCGGCGCCGGGCATGTCGGCGTCCAGTCAATCAGCCGGATTGCTCGTCAGCGAATTACTCTGAGGGGTCGATACCGATGCCCGTCTCGAACCCTTCCCGCCCGTCCCGTCCGCACGACTCGGCACGGCTCTACCCCTGTCCCGTCGGGACTGGGATCCCCGCATGCAGCAGTCTTGTTAAACGGCCTGGGTTCTCGCGGGTGGCGCGGCAGGGCATGCCCGCCCGTGTCCGTGCCCGTGCACGGTCGACCCACTCAATCAAAGTGTCCGCTGTCGCAAAGAAGGTGGCGTCGCGCGTCGCGCAGAACATTCAGGGAGGCAGCTGTCCCACCCCCCACCCCCTCGCCGTCGCGGCTTTGTCCAGCTGCTTCGGAGACATTGCGCGGCGCACGAGGCAGACCGCAGTGTGCAAGACTCCCGGGGAAGTCCAGCCGAGTCCAGCAGTGTGAGGCCCGCTTCACTCGGCTTCGCTCCCGAGTCTGGCTCATTCACAGTGTCTCGCCCTGGCTTCCAAGCTGGCTTCGCGGTGGCGTGGAGGGCCCGGCTAGCCCGTCTCGACTGCCTGAGCGGCTGCAGCGCCCTCCTGTCAACGTGGAGCCTGTCTACGTGAGGATGACTTCCTGTGGAGCCGCTGGACGAGGCTGTCCGCCGAGTGACGCTAGAGGGCGCAACATTTAGCGCGCGGGAGGAAGCGCGAATCGCTCTGAGGACGGAGGGTGCATCTCAAGGCCGTGGGGATCGAAGGGGGCGGCCACGGTGCACATCGTTTGTCCGACCTTTGTACGACCTGTCCAAATTTCACTTGTAAATCGGCTGAAAATTTTGTCCGACCTCCGTTTTGTCCGACCCACTTACACCGCCACGTGGTCAGGCTGCAGCTAGAGAGCAACTCGGCGGCGCTCAATTGATCTAAACACCCGCGGCTCACTCTCTATGTCAATCAAGACTGGATGCAGGACAATCCAAAGACATTTTAACACAAAATGTATTCAGAGTAACAGAAGTAAAATGAACACTATAAAGAAAATTTCAGCGAAAGAGGGCACCCCGGCGAACCGGCCCTCTTCCCCGCTGGCTTGGTGGACCAGTGGTTCCCCCATCTCATCACAGGAGCAACCTCAGAGTTAAACCGCAGTGGCCCCGTCATTGGTCACGTCATCTGTGATGTGGAGGAGTCCTCTCATAGTAGGCCAGGCTGCCACCTTTCGCAGTAGTCGGGTTTCGTTCCCGGCCCCCTTCCCACTCAGGGGCCATGCTACTGGTACTCAGGAGTCTGCGTCACCCTGCCCAGCAGCGGAACCACTGGGCTATGAGAGGCACACTGAACGCCACCCGATTTTGTATACTTGAGCCGCCCTCTTGCGATGCAAGCTTGGTCAAAATATTCTTTACGGTGCTGGGTATCGAACCCCGGACACTGCAGTCGGGACCCGACGCCTCTGCGCTCTCGGCCACCACGGCCCATGGATGACGGTGTGCGAAGCGGAGCATTTGAAGCCGCTGGTCCGAACCGTAAGTCAGACAAAAAGAGCGGGATGCTAGTATTCGATCGCTCGATCCGAGTATAGGAATCAGAGATCTCAACACCTTCGGCCACCTGGCTCGCCATGTAAGCCGAGTGGCGCAACTGGTCCAAACCGCACCGGGAAAGCCACTCCTAAAATGTAAAGATTTGCAGGGAGTCGAACCCCAGCCCCTAAAGCTGCGCGTCAACGCCTCTGCGCGCTCAGCCACCGCTGTTTCTATACAGCATGTCGTAAGTCCCACTACTGGCTTCACACTGTGGCATCCCGAGGAAATCATGATCACGCGCAGGGGTTGGGGTTCGACTCCCTCTGGGGGCTCCGCTCTGGTGGCCTCGAACCACCTCCCTTGGATAGCAAGTCGAAAAAAACTTTTGTGATGCTGGTATTCGAACGCCGGCCTGCGGTAACTCGGTCCCACGTCTCTAACCTCTCGGCTACACCGGTGATAGGAACCAATGTTCCATCGCGTTTCACAACTGCTGTGATAGTCGAGAGGTTAGAGACGTGGGACCGGCGAAAAGGGTATTGGCCGATCAAAAAAAAAACTGATACAGTGTGTTATTGAATGGCGAACGGGGCTCTGTTGTGGTTTCGTATGTTCGATCAGATGGATTGTTCACGAGCGAAGTAATGAGCAAGAGCATCTCTTCAAACTGGTCGATATCCGATCCTTCCGGTCAACACGGCTCGCAACAATAGCCGTCACGCACCGGCTTACGACGATGCGTCAACGCGGAGCGCGACGCGGAGGCATCGCAGTTCTGCGGCGAGACTCGAGGTGGGCGGCGCGCCCAACCATTCCACCAGCCTGGCCGGCATGGGGCTGCGGGCCTTGCTGAGGACGGCTGTCCTGGCGCAGCTCTGCGCCTACAGGGCGTGGGGCACCAAGGCGCATATCCTGCCGGCGGAGGCGAGGTACGGCAGCACGCAGCTCGCGGCGGCGATGAGACTCCATGCCCGGCGGCGCTTTTGATCGCTTGGCGCTTCGCGTTGCTTCGCGTTTGCAGGCCCTCCGACGCCCCGTTCGCCGAGCTGCTCGGCGTCCTGGCGACGCGCTACCTGTTCACGACGCCCCCGACGCCCCTCGTGCTGTGCCTCGACGCGGAGACGCCCCTGACGCGGAGGTACTTCCACTCCGCGCCGGTCATGTTCCTCTGCCCCGGCGCCCACGCCCGCATTCCCGCGGGCAGGATAGCGGGCGTCATCATCGTGGCGACGTCGCAGCGAGTGCTGCAGGTCATGTCGCGGCTGCAGCCCACGACCGTCACTTCGCACTGGTACACCAACGTGGTGATCATGGTCCGAGCGGACGAGGAAGGCGACAGTTCGTCCGTGGAGCCCCTGGAGCCCCTGGTGCGCGAGCTGATGGCGCTCACGTGGTCGCGGTCCTGGGCGCACACCTCGGTGGTGGTGGCGGGCCGCGCGACGGCCACCCTGTACGCGATGGCGCCCTTCGCCAACGCGTCGGGGGTGTGTGGCGCCCAGGCGCCCGCCGCCGTGCCCGTCGCCTCGGTGCGCCTGGGCGGCCTGGACGGCCTGAACTGGGCCTCGGTGGCCGCCATGCCGGCCAAGCTGTACGGCAAGCGCGGCGTCATCCCGAGAGACCTCGGCGGCTGCGTCTTGCGCGCCAGCATTCTCGTCAGCCGCGGGGGTCTGTGCGACACCTCCGACGGACTGACTATCGACTCCGAGATCGTCGAAGAAATCATCATGTCCGTGGCGCGGTACAGGAACGTCAAAGTGGAGAAGCGGTACTTCTGCAACCTCGGCACCTTGTACTTCGGCAACGGGTCGTTCGCCAAGCCACTGAGCTACCTTAGGCCCAACGTGACCGACGTCGTGCTAGGGGCCATGGTGGTCACCTCCGACAGGTTGAAGTACCTGAGGCCCACGGCGCCCTTCATGCAAACGCCCATCGTCGTCACGGCGCGGTGCTCCGACGTGAGCGGGGATGGCCCGCACGTGTGGAATGTAGTTCATCGAAACATGTGGTCGGGCGGCGTGGGGTCGCTAGCCGTCCGTGCGATGGTTGCCATCTGCGTGACGATAGCGCTTCGCGTGGCCATTGCGCGTGTGTCCGAGGCAGCGCGAGCAGCGCGGGCAGAGCAGCCGCAGCCGGCGCCCCTAGGGCCAGGGTGGTGGTTCGCCGCGGCCCAAGCGGCCGCACTGGATCATGTTGGTCGGGCATGCGAGGTAGCTATGACGGTGTCGCGGTACTGCCCAGACATCTTGTCCACGCGCTTCCTGGTCGGCGCTTGGATGATCTACTTCCTCAACGTCAACGTGGCCATCAAGAGCCTCCTCGTCACCGAGAGAGCAGTGGTCAGGTCGGCGCCGTTCCCGCAGAACGTCAGGGAACTGCTCAACACCGTGCCCAACTTCACCATCGCCGTCTCGGACGAGTACTTTCGTAGGATTGTGCACGAGGCTGGTGTGCCGTTGGAGCAGATCATAGTCTGTGAAGGCTGGAAGGGAATCACGCGGTGTGAGGATCGCTTCGCACTGCAGTCGAGCTTCGCGGTGGCGGTGCCCCGTCAACTCTCACGGTTTCGTTCCCTGCGCGGCTGCAGCTACGTGTTGCCGATACACCTGGTCCAGGCCAGCTTCGTCAGCTACATGAGGAAGAACGACATCCTGGTGGAGCTGCTGGACCAGGCCATCTTTCGGCTCAGCAACGGCGGTCTGATCGAGAGGCTGGTGCATTTGGACCAGGAGAAGAGACAGTACAGGGCCTCCAGGAACCGGATGAAGTATTTGAAGGCACAGGCCAGGGCACGCCCGTCAAGGGACTGGGCGGTGGCCATGGACAGCCTGTCCCTACTGTCGGCGGGATGGCTCCTAGCGACGCTGGTGTTCCTAGCTGAAAACGTGGCTCACAGATTTCATGGCGTGGGCGGCGGTGCTGCCTCAGAAGTGGACGAAAGTTCCCACAACATGCACCAGTGTCAAAAGGGTTGCCAACCTCAGTCTGCCAACTAGGCAATAATATCTGGGCTGTATTCTCGAGAATTAGTCTTGTGGTTAGGCTAGCAACGATTCTGTCGTTTCGCGGGAAGCTTTTAACATGTGGCGGCACTGGGCGTGTGCGGCCTCCTTGGCGCGCCTGCCAGCTAGGCAACTTAAACGTCCTGCCGAACTCCGGTGCCGAAAGAGTTGCCTACCTCGCCCCTTGACTGAGTGCGCGGCCGACGAAAGCAGTGACATGCAACACAAACAGTTGATTTTCACCCGCTTCTAAAGGTCCATTGGTTTAAAATTCTAATACCAAATCCTATAGTTTCAGTCAAACTGTCGGTGCGTAGGCCAACTCGTCTATGTACTTTACGCGGACTCTTCTCTTAAATTTGCCGCTCAGAGACTATCAGAGACCTGCAGTGGTTCCTGTTCTCACCGTAAGATGGCGGTCGTAAAAAAAATAATTCCGCACCCACGCTGTGCTGCGAACTACAAGGCACAGCCGGTCAAAGATTTTGTAGTTGACTATCTTTGTGTGGTTAATAAATCACCATTATCTATACCTAATGAAACCATTAAATACGTATTTGCATCGTTGAGGTGTACAGAGAAGGTAAATTTTCACTTATGTTCAACGGAAACAAATCTTTAAGATTTCAAGCCCGCAATAGCTTAACACTTCTGCGTCTTTCTAGGCTCTAGGCTAGCTTTGTTTGGGTAGAGCCTTAAAGGCGCCGGGATCTAGGTTATCGCGTTTTGATGATCTTTCCGGGGTTCTTTTTCCTTTTGTGCAAGTAACATTTATTTAGATGGTGATGATAGTGCATGAATTACTTAAAGGAACCAAGGGGCCGCCCGACTTTGTGAACGCCGTGCTCTAACCTGTACTCCTAGTTGGAGTTTAAGTCTGATTGATTAAAATTAACTTCTTAATACTGTTATGCAAATTAATGTTCCGTTTAGAAGCTCTAATAACATCATTAGTCCATTTCGCGGTCGTACTTTGACGTTCAAGCTGTGTTTCTAATCTTTTCATTTCTATTTTTAACATCAAACTTGTTGTTTGTTTGGTTTTGAAAAAAGTTATTTTGTTGTGTTTTAGGTGGGAGCTGTTTGAGCTCTCAATATCTTCAGCCCTGTTGCAGCTCACCATCTTGTGTCACAATGGATATTAAAGTTGAAACAGAGGCGTCTTTGAAGTCTGAATCAGGTGAAGATCCTCAAGATCAAGAAACTGCAGATGCACAAGAAGGTGAAAATATAAATTTAACCTTTAATGAAGAGATGCCAGAGGAAAAAACTGAAGAAATGCCTGAATATGATACTCGTAGTGAAGTGACTTCATCATCTTCTGATTCAGACTCAAGCCAACCAAGCATTAGCTCAGTAAGCACCAGCTCATCCAGTGGGCGCAAAGGCCGGGGCTCTCGGCACAAACACTCCTCTCGAGCATCCGAGAAGAAAAGCCCCACTCCAGAAAAGCGTCCTAAATCTAGAGAGAAGGGTAAATCTTATGATTATGCCACTAAACTTAATTATTTGTTTCGTGACGCTCGTTTCTTTGTGATTAAAAGTAATAATGCAGAAAATGTTACTCTTTCCAAAGCCAAAGGAGTATGGTCTACATTACCACAAAATGAAACTAAACTTAACCAAGCATTTAAGGAATCCAGAAATGTTTTACTTATCTTCTCTGTGAAAGAAAGTGGAAGATTTGCAGGATTTGCAAGGCTGAATGGTGAGTCCAGGCATGATGTCAACCCAATCTCATGGGTTCTACCCCCTGGCTTGTCAGCTAAAGCTTTGGGAGGTGTGTTTAAAGTGGATTGGGTTTGTCGGAAAGAACTTCCATTTAGTGCAACAATGCATCTTTATAACCCATGGAATGAAGGTAAACCTGTGAAAATTGGAAGAGATGGCCAAGAAATAGAACCAAGAGTTGCAGAAGAACTTTGTAGGCTTTTCCCGGAAGATGAGGGAATTGAAATGACTCCTATTCTACGTAAATCTAAGGAAGCAGCAAAACTTGTGCAACCAAGAAGTTCAAGCTATAGAAGAGAAGGTTATAACAGCAGCAGAAGTAATAGGTTCTCTTCATCCTCGCGGTCATCATCCTTCGGATTTCGTGGTCGTGGTCCTTCCTTTAATCGTGGCCGTAAAGTGTTCAGTGGAGCTCGTAGCCGACTTAGTCAGAGTGGAGGAGTTTATAAATTCTCTTCATCTCGTCATCGTGAGAGGCTTCCCCCAATGTGGTTTGGCTCAACACGGGACAACAGTCGGCCATTTGGGGCAGCAGCAGCTGCTGAGGCTTATGTTGCTGACTACATGCGCAGTCTGCAGCACCAGTTGCCACCCATGCCCTATGCTCCTCCTCCGGGTGTCTTTTCAGGATCACCAACTCCTTATGACTCTATTCCACCTCCACGATATTATGATGGCCTACCCCTTCCTCTTCCAGAGTATCCCCCATTACCACCAAGAAGTAATGGGTACTCAGACAAAAGGTCATATGATCGCTCAGTTGATGAATTCTTGTGGCGTACTCGTGAAAGAAGAGACCGAGATCGTGACAGGGATCATCATAGGTACAGGGAGAGGCGGTGAAGACAGTGACTTAATCTATTTACATTATATTCCACTTGTTAACTTGTCCAGTGCTGTGTAATATCACTACTGATAGACTTAAAAGACTCTGTGTTAGTTGTTTCTAAAAGATTTTTTTAACTGAATTACTCTGTATTTCAGTCATTGAGAGTTGTACATAAGATTGTGTGTAGAAAGTTTTTGTGTAAAGGTATATATGAAGTGAAATCAGGACTGTTTCCTTGTTGCCTAAAAAGAGGTTTAAAAAAAAAAAATGTTGGGAAACATATCTGTGTTTCACTACAAATAATGATAAATACTATCTTGTGGTGAAAATATGTGTACAGTGTTGGACTTCCTTAGTGAGTGGCACTTGCTACTAAGTCCACCTCAAGATTTTCGCTGTGATATGAGAGTAGTTTCCAAACCAGGTATCTTAAAGGACTGTGACAGTAGATGATGGCAATGAATCAGTCGTGGTCATGTCATAATGAATGTATTCTGGACAAGTGCTTCTCTCAGGCTGTGATAACTCTCTCAGTCTAAGTTTTACATATTGGAGATGCTTTTGGAGTTGGAGTCCTAAGGTAAATATGGCTAATTGTGTGAAGTGGTTAGATTTAACACCTTCTGACATTATGGCAGAAACACATTGGTGGTTGGTAATTGAACTGCTCAGTGTTGTTAATCATTTTATTTCAAAATCAGTTCACCAATTTTTATTTAAAAAAAAAAAAAAAAAAAAAAAAAAAATACCACTTTAAGGATTTGGTTCCTAAAGGCAACATTGGTTTTCCTATGAAGTGCCTATAGTTGTCAAAAGTTACAAATGAGTTTTGATTCTCTTACAAGATTGTCTGTTAGATTTACATGCGCTAATCCACTTATTTTTTCTTCATTATTGTTATTTTCTCATATTTTACAATATGTCTTACTGAGTTAGCCTTCATCAATTCTGATTTTGCCTAGTGGCATTTGTGTTCAAACATGATCTCAATCAAGAAATACTAGCTAACGCCATAATAGGCAATTTTGTTTAAAAATATTATTTCATTTTGTTGACGGGCTTACAAGACAATCCTTATTTTGTAGGACAAATTAGAGTCTTTCTATGAATATAAACCTGAGAGTTTATAAATTGTACTGCACATAGTGTTGATTGTAATGGTGTTCCTTTCTGTCTAAATTTTACTTCAATTGCTTAAGAGTACCTGTATCTCTGTATCTTGTACATTACTTTTATAATTGATCGAACTATAATTAAAGTGAAACCAAGATTACTTCTTTAAATTATTTGCTCATTTTCTCAGTACAGGTATTTTTTCCTGCAATAAGTGTGTTTAAGAACTCTCACTCTTAGAAGGGGCAGCGGCTGGGATGAATCAGATGACCTTCCTCTCAGTTGACTCCTATATTACTACCAGTATTCTAGAAATATTAAATTAATATTCTTGTGAAAAATCCATATTTTGTCTGTTTCAGACTACATATTGCAAGGTAAAATCGGTTCCTGGTTTACCCAGGAACTCCCTGGAATTCGACTATGCCTTTACCATGGACCTCCTGGCAAACCCAGATACCGTTTTCACCATGTGGCATACAGTCTATGGTCGAACTTTCAAACTGTGTTGTGACACCTCATAAAAACAAAATCATATTTTTAAAAGATTATTATTATAAGCATAAATATAAAATGAATAAAAGACAACAATTAAAAACAAATACTGAAAGATAAAACAGAGACATCATTTAGGCTAATTTAAATTTCTTTCCTCTTGCGCACCAAGTCTAGGTTAACTAAGTGTCGCATAGTGGGTCTTCCATGCGGACAGTTCTGAAACAACAGGAATCAATATAAATATCATGTTGGACACACACACACTTAGAGTAAACGTGCATAACTCAAAAAGGTCAATCTTACCCATGGTTGTTCTATTTCTCCCATGTGGTTCACAAGTTGACGCATAGTAGATTTGCTCAGAGCTGTTCCAATCATGACCGATTTACGACATGCACGAGAGGCAAACATAGCTCGCACACGAGAAGGTCGGCACATGGTATTTGGAGAATCCTAAACCAGATAGGTCATACATTTAAAGGTGATAGTTATACCAACTAAAGTAGCAAAATAAACATCTACAGTAAATTGTGTTACCTGCAGCATGAAGAGTAATTCATCAATGTCTTCTTTGCCAAACTCCCAATTGTGACTTATGGGTTTAGCTGCCAGGCGGACACGCTTTGTTGGTTCAGCTGTAGGAATAAGTTAACATAGAAAAAACAACAAGGTATAAAATAAAGTTGTTCACATTTTAAGATGCTCACCATTTTTGTCAATTACAAAGCTGAACCCATTTTTGAGAAAAATATCCATGTTGTCCATTAAAATGCATTCATTAACTGCTGTCAGATCTAGAGCCTGAGGACTAATTAAAATCAAAGTGAAAAAATGATTGAGATAAATTGTATAAAGACATGCACTGATTCAACACTTACATAACAAGTTTCTGATTCTTCAAGGTGGTTTGAGTCTGTAATGTTTCAAAATTGTATTTCTCATCGGTGGCATGTTGATCGATTATGAATAAGTCTTGGCCTAATTTAGTAACGATAAAGCCCAAGTTGAACTGCCCAACAATTTCCATCTAAGAGACATAAGACAATTTAACTTAAGATACCTGTTTCCTCCTTTTTTTGGCAAATGTATTGACAGTGTAAACTACAAACCTTTGAAAACATGTCTTTGGATATCTCCTTACTGAGCTCTTGCTCTGCATTTTTATTCTTGGATGGGTCAATTTCTGCATAAAATCTAACTCTAGGCTTTTTATCAAAAATGCAATCTTTTTCAATGATGGAGTCCGTCTTAGACTTGGACAGAAGTCGCTGCACCTTATCCATGCTAACATTGAAGGTAACAGATTTACGCTTGGCTTCTTTCTTGTCACTATCAAACAATATTGTGTTCTGTTCACATTTCTTTTCAAACGTTTGGTCTGGAACTGTTGTCTGTTCTGAGATATGTTCCAAACCAGATCTATCACATTCATCTCCCACAAAGCTAGAAGATTGTTCATGGACTGACTCTGTGGGTAACTTCTCTGGGTAGGCTCCCTCAATTTCAACATCGATGGGTTGGGTTTCTGTTCGACATGAAGAGCTCTCATTTGGTTTTTGCAGAATTGCCTTGGATGAGACATCTGACGTAACATGGGAGTGCAACTCTTCACAGTGAACTTCACTTTCTAGGGTTTCTTGAGTACAGTCATTCATGTCATGCGGTGAATCAGCTAATAAACCCGAATCACAGTCCATTGAAATAGAAACAGTTTCATGTTGTAAAGGCTCTGCATTGTCAGAGGAGTTGTTCTTTTGTGACACAAAATCACTGAGACACAGTTCTGAAATATTTCACAATTCAGTTAAGATAATAATACTGATGGCGAATTTATGACAAATCTTACTCACGCTTTTTTCCATCTCTATCATAATTTCCTGAGCTTAAGGTTCTCTTGACACCTCGCCCAGTTTTCAAGTTAGAATAGTCTTTTGATGTGAACTCTGGGGTTTGCTTATTTTTAGCTGTTGAATGACTAAAACTTTTTAATAAAGACGAAAAATTGCTAACTTTGTTTGAGCTTGTTGAGTTGGGTGATGAGTAGGACGACTCATTTGATACATTAGCAGATGGCAGACATATATCAGAAGAACTCTTGGTTGGACCAACAGCTACATTTTGAACTTTGTATGTGTGCGGAATCTTTTCATACAATTTCAAAAGAGATGCCTGAAGTAAAAATTACAACAAATTACAACAGCTTCATACCAAAAATGACTTCAGCAAAGAAGGATGGCCCCCATACCTTGACTGTTGCAACCAGCAGCTTTTCATTATCTAGAAATATCTGTCTTTTGTCTGGAGTCACATTGATGTCAACACTATCACGGGCTGTTTTTATATTTAGAAATATGAAAGGAAACTGATGAAGGTTGAATTGATGGTAGACCTCATTGACAACTTTGGCAACCTTACAAGAGAATCAGTTGACATATATATATAAATGCACACTACTTCGGATTACATGGGTACTATGGTTGCTATCCTTTTATCTTCTTTACCTTCACTGGGTCACAAGGTCGATTATTTATGAAGTAAAACTGACGGTCTGTTGAGCTGCGACCCTGTCCATGGCTGCAAGATGAAACGCAGCCTTCTAATTGGAACCCTCTAAAGTCATCAATGTTACCGGGAAGACCAATCTCTTCCAGGTGGCTTGCAGAAGGGGGCTCGAGCTCAATATCAAGAAGACTGCTGGCCTGACAAAATATGTTGAACAAGAATGATGTATGAATCAAAACTCCTTTTTGTTTCAGACATAATATTTCAGTTGGGGAGAATGCAAATCAACCTGTTTGGCTCCAAAGATGCACATAATGTTGCCTTTGAAAGAGGCACTTCCTTGAGTGGAGGCAATTATATTCTTTCCTCCCTTTTTTGTTTGATTTGAACACAAAATTCTGAAACAGACACAAAAATGTCAACTTTCTAGATGTTTAATAAAAAGAATGTCAACTACTTCTGGTAAGATTCTTACTTAACACCTGTAGAAATAAGGCAGTATGCATACAACAACTGAGTCATTTTGGCGAATTCTCTTTTCAGGTGGCGCAAGAATTCTTTTTGTCGTACTGGAAGAGGGCTAAATAAATTGGCGAGAGTGACAGTAGTCCCAATCTGTAACACATTAAGCCAACAATAGGAGTGGTTCAATGTGCAATGACATTAGTGACAAAGAAACAAACTTACCTGACGTGCACATGGTGTTCTGTTGATAATAGACCCACGAGAGTCATAAGTTAATCGTGTTCCCATTGTACTGGAAGTGTGTCGTGTTGTAACTGTCAGGTCACTAAGGGCGCAAAGGGAACTCAGAGCTTCACCTCTAAAGCCAAACGTTTCCACGCCCAGCAAATCAGAAAATTCTCTGATCTTTGAAGTATGATGTTTCAGTGCTACGGACCATGAATGTACTCAAGTTTCAAATACCCAAAAGCAGTTGGAGTTGAATTCAAGTGAAGCTACATGCATAAAGGGATACTTACTTAGACCTGGAAAATTGGCTTCTTCAACTCCACATCCATTGTCAATAACTTCAACCAATTCACTCCCATACTCTTTCAATCGGATTTCAACCGACGTAGCTCCGGCATCCAAACTGTTTTCAACGAGTTCTTTCATAGCAGTAGCCAAGTTAAGAACAACCTGGACCACAAAAAACAAAGTAGCAAAACAATTTCCAAGTAAATCTTAAGAATGAAAGAAACACACAATCAGAGGTTATACCTGGCCGGAACATATTCTGTGTACCGCCTCTTTATCAATGGCCTGTATGCTTTTGCTTTTCTCTTTAGTTGGGGATGGAACGGCAGTAGATCCCTCCTCCACAGACATGATGTCCTTGAGGGATTTCGGCGAAAAATTGACTCTCAAACAATGAAGTAAACGTAAACAGTCGTCTGCCCAGTCGTGAGACTGTCACGCTCGCGCTCTCTCGTTCGTTTATTATCAGCATTCATTTGTTTTGACACCTGTTGGGAGGCTAGTATCCGGTGTTAGTTGGGTTGCCTACTGGCAGGCGAACCACCACACCAACGTTCATTAAGGTGTTCTCTGTTATTAGGGCAATAGCTCCCATTCTCAGTTAATTTAAAACGGTTCGCTAATGAAACGTCTTCTCAACAAATGAAAAGGATTGCAAATGACCAACCAAGAGGGTAGGAAATGAACTGAAAATATTGAAATCAAATCATAAAACGCTGACTTTGAACAAATTTTTAAAATTATGAGCGTGGTCTTTTCGGTGTCGAAAGGCCCAATAAGTTTAATCAAATGAAGAGACTTGCAAAATGTAAGACATGGACCAAGGACGCAAGGTAAAGGGTAGGGCCGCTAAGGGCCGCGACTGGGCGTTGGAGGGGGAACAGCTGAGAGCGGGGTTGGAGCAGTCTACCCCCACCAACCGGACCCACCACCCCCGAACCCATTCCCGCGCCCGCCACCTCCGCGCCAGCCGCCAGCCCGCGCAACTTATCGATCTGAAGAGGGCAGGGGCGGGAGACGGTAGTGCCCTACGTGGTCAGGACGCCACCTCGCCGTCAGCAAGCAAGGCAGCAGGCAGCAGGCCTGGGGGTGTTGCTGCCAGTGGCTGCCAGGCCAGGCTCTGCTCGCTTTGGTCGCTCTGCCAGGCGCCCACCCTGACACCCACGCCGCTGCACGTCCGCGGCGAGGTTAGGGCGTCCTTGGAGCAGGGACTTCCTCCGGTCACCCGCCACCGCCACAGCTACGCCCGCTACACCCGCTACGCCCGCTCAGCCAGCTGATGACCACCCCGTCGTGGTGGCAGCCCTGCAGTCCTTCCCGGGCAGCGCCAGCAGCGCCGCCATCCACATGGAGGGTAGGTACCATCACCTTGTCCGCGTTGTCGGCCTCTCGTAGAATCGTCCCCGTGGTCCGCGTGGTCCCCGTGGCGGCCGCTGGCCAGCGCTCCTGGTGCCGTCGGGAAAGGCCTGGTGCAGTGTGAGTGGCGTAGCTGCGCCAATCCGAGCCACTAATGTCGTTCGCACCACCTTCGGTCCGCTGCGCGCTGGGCGCTGCGCCCGGTGGGACTCACCGACGGCACGCTGCCGACGACGATGTCCACGGTCTTGTGCGTGCCATGACCAGTCATGACGCAACAAGTCGAAGACCCGTGATCGCGACCGATAATGTCTCCGGGCGAGGGCCGAGCACCGAGGCCGCGGCCCCTGTGCGCCCTCCCGACGCCCTCCTCGCGGCCTCGGCCATGACGGCCATGACGGCCAGGCGCACACGGCCTTTCCCCGCCACTCTCCCACTCCTGCATGCGACTGCAGCTTGCATATCGGACGCGGGACGCGCGACGCGACGCGCCAACCGGATTTCCCTGGAGACTTTCCGGTTCGCACCGACGGCAGCCCTGTCCCGTCCCGCGCGGTCCCGCGCGGTCCCGCGCCCCGCCTTCTCATTTGTTTACTTGGCGTTGCCTGGGTAACCGCGACACCACCACCAGCAGCTCCGCAGCTCCCATCCCACCCCTCTCCCGAAACCGAATCAAGGCTTTCCGACTGCACCCGCCTCCCCCAGATTTCCCGCAAACTCCGTGTTTATCTTGCATCTTTCCACTCCGCCAAATCAGCGTAATTCAACTCCGCGGCGGGGCCTCATTGTCACTCGGAGGTATCAGGGCTTTTGTAGAGAGGCTGAGACGGGGTGCGACAGCGGGAACGGTGTCGAGCATGAACGATGTGGGGCAGGGCGGCACCATTTTGTGGGCTTCCCGCTCTGCCCTAACGATTTACACCTGTGAATTCTCCCTGAAGAGAACGCCTCCTGACTAGCCGTTTACGGGGAATATGCGGAGGCATCCTTCGAGTCCTACACCATCCACATTCATGGTCATGGTTATTCGTTTCGCTGATTTGTGTCACCTCGTCCTTGGGGCAGTTGAGGTGATTCGAGTCGCGGCTCTTTTGTGCGCCTCACCTCCCCAAGCTGGTGCTGGCAGTGGCTGGAGCCCTGGGCGGGTTCGCGACGTTCGCGATGTGAAGCCTGACCCAGCGACAGCGCTGCGTCCGCGACTCCAGGCAACCCGAGCAGCATTCCCCTGAGGCAGCCCTACAAGAAAAGAAAAGTTGATCACAGCTATCGGAATGGGCCTGTCGATGAAATCCTGATCGTGGTGGTAACCAACCATTCCAATCTTGGTGATTGCATCGGTGGTGGTGATCGAGGGTCGATTGTGACAACCTACATTTCGTCGTGGACACAAAGTTGAGTCATACGAAAGACCCACCCCATCGCCCGGACTTCTTTTTCCGTGCAGCCATGTGTGGCGGTCCTCACGGGCCACCCTTTGTCCGGTGCCGACAGCCGTGCGGCCCGTGCGTGCCGCGGCATGGCGTGCAACCCACGCCAATCTTCCCTGCACGTCCAAACTTCAAAGGCACCGCGCCCTAACAGCCGCATTGATTGTTGTTGTGCCCTTTCCGCAGGCCTGGCGGACGGCGACGCCGGTGGCGCCGCTGGCAGCGATGTGACGTCGGGGTAAGCTCAAACAGCATACACGAGGGACGGTCGGGGACGGTAATGGAACCCCAAACGGTTCCCTTTCGGTAGATGCACAACAAATGCAATGTTGCTCTTTTTCATGGTAGAAACACGCAAGTTAGCCCCCCCCCCTTTCCTCCTGGCACCACGCCGTATGGGGCCGTGCCGTTAGGAGAGCGGCGCCCGAAGCTCCGCCCGAGGCGCTGGCCAGGCCCAGTAGGTACTGTCACAGGCACGTGGTCCTGCCGGTCCTCCTCGGTGAGTGCTGCAATTGCTGCCTTGCTGACTCAGCAGCGAGATCAACACTGCTTGCGGTGGAAAGCCACCTGCCGTCGTCGTCGGGCTTCATCTTGTTTCAAGCTGCTTCAAGCTTGAGTGCGGTGGGTCCGGTGACAATGTGTTTGGCCAAGCTGCGATCCGTCTTGGGCCGTGCGATCGAGCGGATCGAGCGACGAGGGCCTTGGTGCCGCCACTCGGGCCTGGCACTTGGCGCTTTGGGCCGGCAGCACTCCGTGGAGTCGCGTCGTCGCCCTTTCTCTGTCGCACTCACGGGGGTGCGGGTGCAAGAGAGACAGTGCGACAAGACGGGTCTTTTCGGTCATTCCGCAGGGCGCAAGCCGCGCAAGCGGCCTTTCTTGGCGGGTCACTCGTGACTGACCCGCTCAAGCGGGGCACGCTGGCCAAGCCCAGCCCCCGTAGGCCGTAGGCCTTGCCGTAGGCCGTAGGGCTCAAGTGGAAGTTATGACACTCTCTCTTCGTGTCCACTGTCCCTCCGAAGCCCCCACCCCTTTCCATTGGCCTGCAAGTCTGCCCGCCCGTCCGTCCGGCTGGGCCAGGCCGTGGCCGCCGTGGCCGCCGTGGCCGCGTCACCGCTCCCAGAGCATGCAGCAGCGTAGCACGTTCGTCGGCCGGCCGGCCGGCTGGACGGGCGTCGGCCCAGCCGGGCAGCCAGGCAGTCGCTGAGAGTAAAGCTGGGCGAGCTGGGCGGGAAACGGCGTGCATTTCGTTTCAAGCTTGGGATGCTGAGTCTGGAGCTCGGTAAACGCTAGCCCCTCGAGCTGCTCTGAGCAGCCGCGGTGCCGGAGGAGAGGAGAGGCCCGAGACGAGAAGACGGGCGGTGCGACTCCTCGACCCGCGACATGGTGCCCGCTCCGCCCCACCGCGCCGCGCCGTGGCCTCTGGCTGGCCAGGCATGGCCTGTCTTAGCGCACTTTCCCGACGACTGATCGGCTCGGCTCGGCTCGGCTCGCTCGGCTCGGCTCGGCTGGACTCGCTGCTTCGCGCTACTCCGCGACGCGACGAGGCGCACGGTTCGGCTGGCGCGGCGCGGCGCGGCTGGCGGGGGGCGTAGCGCGGGGCGTTGCGAGGCGCGGCGCGGCGCGGCGGGGTGGGGTGGGGCTGTGTGCCGCTCCGCTGTGCCCGAGCCGTGCTGCGCCAGTACTCCGCGCCATCTCGGGCCGGCTCCACGTTCGCCACAGGGCCCCACGAAATCCGCGCACCGCCCCGCCACGCCGTGCTGTGCGTGCGCGTGCTGTGCGTGCCGTGCGTGCCCGTGCTCTTGTCGCGAGTGAGTGTCAAAGTGAGGTGACGCAGGCCCGGCCCGGCCCGGGTGGCCTAGGCTGGCCCCGAATGGCCCTGAACAACATGCCGCGGGCACGGCGTGCGCACGGGGCCGCGCAGTCGTAGCGTTTCTCCGCCCTTGGCTCAAGGGCCTCGCCGGGGGCCTCGCCGAGGGCTAGGGACACCGCCCTCCACCCTTTGGATTACACGCCCGCTCGTCCCTGTGTAAGTGCGAATGCTGCGGGACGGAGCAGGGAGTCTGGCCTCGCAGATCGAACGCTGGGGATGGGTGCGGCCCGCCGTGCCGCCGCGCCGCTGTGCGGTGCTGTGGGGCCCGGCCCGCGGCGGAGGCCTTGTGCCTTCCCATTGGCCCGTGGCCGCCGTGCTGGCCGCCGTGCTGGCCGCCGTGCTGGCCGCAGTGATGCTGTGCGTGCGGCTGGTCACCAGGGCGCCAGGCCTGCCAGGCCTGCCAGGCCGTGGACTCGGACACGGCGGACACGGCGGACACGTCCCACAGGCGTGCATTGGGGAATCGGGACGTCTAGTCCGTCCGCCAGTCCGCGGCCGTCCGCGGCCGTCCGCGACCCAGCGCGCCAGCTGCTCGCCTCGCCACCGGCTCGCCGGCTCGGCCTCTCCCCTCCCCTCCCCCTGTCATGTGTCGAAAGTCAGTCCCAGTCCGTCCCAGTCCGTCCGCCACCGAATTCCGCTCTGTCAAAGCAAAGAAACAAGCGTTGATTCCACCTGGGCGTTGACGCGCAGACGAGCCCCCGGTTGTGTAGGACGCACGCGCCAGAGGTTGCCTACCCTGCTGTGTTCTGCGGCGCCAGCGCGCGCCAGCGGCACTGCCCGTGATACCGGTGCAGTGATTTAGCCTGTTTGTCTCGGCGAGGGAGAGAGAAAGACGGAGAGAGAGTGCGGCTCTGTGTGGAATCAGTCCGCTGGGGCCGCACTTCCTTCCACTGTCATTGAACCACTTAAAGGCAGAGCCGGCGGCCCAGACACTTGCCGCGGCTGACATTCGCCATTCGCGCCGACACGCTCCTGACAAAGCGCTGACGAGGGCGCGGACGGGCCGCCGGTGGCTCGACATGCTCGACACACCGGGCGAAAATGGCAGCGAGCGGTAGCGCGAAGACAGGCAGCGGGCAGAAGCAGGCAGAAGCCGAAGCCGCGCTGGCTGGCTGGGCTGGCTGCCGGCTGGCCGGGTGGAACCAACGCCGCGGCTCGTATCACGGCGCGCTTGCCGGTTACGGCAGAGGG